ATATGACTTTCTTCTTTCAGACGAATCCAGTCGGAGTTATATTAAAAATTGTATTTGATCTTTCAAGCTGTTTAATGCCCCTCAGCTGGTGTTGCATTGCTTCAGTCCAAAAGAAGTTAAATAAAAATCGACCATCCATAAAAAAAAGTGTCTCACACGGCTCCGGCGGATGACGTATGAAGTCAGCTTTGTGTCTTTGTCTCCATATACACCTCGGGGGTGAGTAAAACACAGCCTAATTTTCATTTTTGGGTGAACTAACCCTTTAAATCTTCTGATTTCCTCAGCAGCTGCAGATGTGAGTGTTCAGATCAGAGGAGCGCAATCCTGTTCGATCTGCCTTCCTGCAGAGTTCAGCTCCGACCCTGATCCGATCTTCAGGAACGCTTGCTGACAGCCGTGTGTTTGATCAGGGTTGAACTCTGCAGGAATCTCCATCGTCCTGCATCATGTCACACCTCCACTATACCATCATTCAAACCTCAATGAAAAACCTCTCTTTTCTGACAGTATTTTCAGCCTTCTTCTGACTAGTGTTTTGCTGTGAAACTACTAGGTATCTGTGTTGTGTGTGTTCTGGTTTTGCTGTTAAGTCACTGTGTATTTATATGTATGCGTGTGTGTGTGTGTATATGTACTGTACTGTACACTATCGCATGATTGAAGCTGTGTTTATGTATTTTCTCCTTGTACAGCGACCTTCAGCTTGGGAAAAGCGCTTTATAAAAAATGTGTTATTATTATGTCTGTTATGTCATCTCATCTCATGTCTCTCTGTTGATCTCCACTTGATTCATCGCTGGGTTTGTGTGTTTGGTGAGTCTTGAGGAACCATTTAAAACCTTAAAACAGAACTGTATCGTGATAACTTTTAATTATTTTTATTAATCTTTGTTTGACTCTTTAAAAATTTTAAACATATGGGTTAATTCAGGATAACTGATACATATTTTCCTAATCATCTCAATGGCAAAAAGTGTCACCCGAATTCACCCTATATATTATTTATTATTAATGACAATACATGAACTATTTTGGTCTTTTTAACAGTCAGTATTTGAAAAATAATGTGTTTTTTGAACATTAAAGCATGTCAACATATTCTGTTACACCAAATACACAAAATAATGATCTTTAAAATAGCATCATATGACCCCTTTAAGACTTTTTTTTTGTAAATATGTATTTTTTGTTGATTCTGTATTTCTGCATGCTTGTCTGAAGTGCAGGTCTAGTTGGATGAACGTATAGTGAAATTTGCTTCATGTAATCAGTACTATTGTATGTTGCCTATCATGCCACTTTCCACACGTAAAAAATAAAAGCAGTAATATTCTGAATTAGTTAATTGAATTTTAGTTATTATTAGTGATTTTTAATTGTAGTTTTTAAAATGTTTTATGTATAGTACATAGATTTTTTATTTCAGTTTTAGTTGTAGTTATTTTAGTACATCGTTAACAGTATTTTGAATTCGTTTTTATTTTTTAAATTGTGCCTTTTCACTTTAATTTTAGTTGTTTTAATTTTTTTAATAAATGTCTATTAGGTTTTATATCAATTTTAATTTGAGTTATTTTAGTACATCAAGTTAAACTAAATAAAAAAAGTTTTTATTAATATTTTGAATTAGTTTATTTTTAAATTTTGCCTTTCACTTTGTTTTATTTTCATTTTTTTTTTTAAAGTCTAATTTTTATTTCAGCTGTAGTTATTTTAGTACATCAATTTTAAAATGTTTTTTTTATATATTTTGAATTAGTTTTTACTTTTACAGTTTATAGTTTAAATGTTTCTTATTTTTTCTTTTTATGGCTATATAGTTATTTGTTTTAGTTTTAGTACATCAAGTTAAGCTATATAAAAATGAGAATAGTTTCCTTGGCAATTAGCTGATATATATATATATATTTAAAATTAGAGGATGTATATAATACAGAAAAAAAAATGCAGCAAAACAAAAATGCTGCTGTTGAGCATTCAAGCTCCATGCATGGTATGATTTTGAACAAATTCATAATGCAAAAAGGAAAGATGAATAATCTCAACACAGATGGCTGATAAAGACGTATCTTTTTATTTAACCCATGGGATTGAACTTGTACAGTGCATTTCTTTACAACAATTATTCACTAAGTGACAAATATTAGCCACTATTACAGACCAAATAACTATACATCACATTTCTGGGTTCCTCTTTTAATGCATTTAACTCAAAAAAGTGTCCTTCATCAGCACCACGGGGAAGAAAAATCAAGCGGGTTCTCAGTGTTTTTAACCTCATCGATTCTCAACCAATCATCTTCTCGTTGTTAAGCCTCTAGTTATTGTACCATTGAACAAGTTAAAGTTACAAATCAGTGAATCCATGAGAAAATCAAACACACGTGGCACTGTTGAGAGGTTCACCGTTAACAAAACACAATCAATGTAGAGCCGAAGACGCAGACGACATGAAAAAGAAATCCTAGCACATGTAATGCTGTTGAGATCATGAGCCCTCCAATACAAAAGTCCTTTCAATCGCCACCGGTTTCCCTTTGTACGATTCAAATATGAATTATCATCACTGGTTTGTTCAGATGAAGTGATAGAAACACGCTAACGTAGACGGAGCAGCTAGTTTTACCATAACGTACACAACAACATACAGCAGAAATGTTCAGCTTGCTGTTTTTTTTCTTGCGTTTCCTGCAACAAACACACAACCAGCCAGATTAAACATGAACTGAGCAGTGATTTTGTTTATATATTATTGATATGTTGGAATTCGAGGTTGATTTTGGCATTTAAAGTCGTGTATTTCACATCAAACGAGAGTGAAACCATTTCACAGTTCAGCTAAAGCTCGGTTCTGCCGGAGCGGCTGAAAGACGAAATAGGTCGCGCTCTGTGCACAAAACTGCGATCAAATCAATGCAAACCGGCAGCTTTAATTCAGTAACAGCACCCGCGAATCCCTCCAGTTCCCCAAAAATAAGAATAACCCAAACAATTGAACATTCAAGCTTCACAGCGAGAAAACAGCTGCAGATCTCTCCGTTTTGGTCTCGAACCCCCTCCGTAGTGCACAAAATAATAAGGATAGAGACGTTTTTAAATACTGTAGCAGCTTGGTTGGATTTAAATAGTGAGCCTCTCGATAGACGCCGGGTTTGAAGGAAGGAGGTGATTGTCCGCTGTGTGTGGTGCATTTGAGATGAAGAAACGCCTCTCTTTGGGTTTTTTTTTAACCCAAGGACCCTTTGGGTTCAGTTCTGGCCTCAACCAGAGAAGCTTGGAGTTCACTTGCAGAGATAAAAACGGCCCTCCATCGCAAACCGCGCTCGTTTGTTGGATCTCCTCCATCTCGTTTCCACGTGTGGATCGGTCTCAGAGCTGGACTCTAAATCGCCCTGGTCTCGCGGTTGCCGGGGGGAACGAGGCAGAGAGCGTCTGATTGGACGCCGGCGTGTGTGGCGCGCTGTGATTGGCCGTCTCAGCTGGAGGCGGTGGCGATGGCTTTCTTCAGCTGTTGCGAGCGCAGCTCTCGCGTGCGGGACTCCAGCAGCAGGTCGAAGCAGGTGTTGCACACCAGAACCGGGTCGTACAGCTGCTGGTCTGGGATGGGAAGCTTCAGGTGGCAGCAGTCCTTACAAAACACGTTACCACAGTTCCTACAAGAAATATGAGATATGAGAATCGCCAAAAATCATTAGGATATTAATTAAAGATCATGTTCCATGAAGATATTTTGTAAATTTCCTACCGTAAATATATTAAAACTTCATTTTTGATTAGTAATATGCATTGCTAAGAACTTCATTTGGACAACTTTAAAGATGATTTTCTCAATGTTTCGATTTTTTTGCACCCTCAGATTCCAGATTTTCAAATAGTTGTATCTCAGCCAAATATTGTCCTATCCTAACAAACCATACATCAATGGAAAGATTATTTATATACTGTATAATCTTATACTGTATAAGTATGTATAAATCTCAATTTAAAAAAATTGAACCTTATGACTGGTTTTGTGCTCCAGGGTTATTGCGATATATTGGATGGGAAGAGCCCTTCAACGTTCGGTCCATTAACTGAACACAGGCTTGACTAATGAATTCTTGGGGTTTAAGAATCGATATCGCTCCGTAAAAATGAGATTCGATTAATATCGAGATATCGATATTTTTTACCCAGCCGTAATTTTTTATATTATTTAAAATCTCAGAGGGAAAAAGTCTTGGGAATCCCTGAAAAAAATAAAGTGATATAGAACTGCTCTGCTATTTCTACACTGCTGACAGGAATCAGTAAACGGGCCGCACCTGCAGTGATGCCGTCGCTTGGCAACCCAGAACTCGCAGTCGCAGTTGAAGCAGTGAGAAGCCATGTGATCCGGCACCCATCTGGTGACCTGTGCGTCCAGAAACAAGCTGGTTAAACTCTCTAACGATGCAGCATCAGCAGAGAGAGTGAGGATGACTGACCTCTGTGTCCTTCCTCTCCACACGGTCCCAGCTGCCCTCGCTGAAGCCATCCTCGCTGTGATTGGACAGAGAGTCTTCCTCGTCACTGCCGTCCGACTCACGCAGACACGTCTGGAGGGACGAGAGAGGACGTCAGACACGAGATACTCGTCACATATCATTTATAGTGGAAACATCACTGTGCTGCAGTTCACAGAGTAAATGATTTATCTAGTCATGAAAGCACAGACTCCACCTGCGATGAATCAAATCACGAGCATCACAGGAGACTGATTTTAAATGCACAAGTAAATGAGCGAAATTAAGACATTTTAAGACCTTTATGACTTGCGCAAATAAAATGCACAATATCATCTCAATTAAATAAACTAAGTTTTAGTTAAAAAGTTTGGAGTAATTACGATTTTTTAAATATTTTTTAAAAGAAGTCTCTTATGCTTTACTGTAAAAACAGTAATATTATTGCAATTTAAAAGAACTTCTTTCTATTTGAATAATGTAATTTATTCCTGTTATAGCAAAGCTATTAATTACATTTTAAAATACCAGTCGGCGGCCGTGATAGCTGCCATGTTGGATGGCGCCACCGCAGGCTGACTGGACAAGGCCTTGGACGCTGTCCCATTGGGAACCTAGTAGCGATAGCTCCGTCAGCTGGCTTTGGGAAATCAAACGGCGCGCTGCTTTGGCGTAATCGGCGGGTGGCGGCCTTTCTCTCGCGGGAACCAGTTCGCCGTTTCGTACCGGCGCTTCGAAAGGAAGGTGCGATTCGACTGCGGTGGCTTTCCCAGAAGGAGGGATCTCGCTTTGCTCCGTTAGCGTCTCCACTGACGCCTCCAATGGCGCAATCGCTTCAGAGTTCACAGATCCGCTAGCGTTTTCTACGTGTGCAAAGCCGTTAAAAAGAAGAGGCGGATTTGTGTTTTCTGCAGTCCTGACTAAACAATTTGGAATTTGAGGCGGAGCTTGGTTTATAACCGGAAGGGGCGGGGCTTGATCTAACGCTAAGGGGTGGGGCAAATACGGCAGAGGCTGGGTTGTCAAACAAGGCTCCGCCCTCAAATCGTCCTCATGAGTTTCCTCACGCGTCGGCTCAGCGCCGACCGATCCGGCGATTTGTGGGTCCTCGGACGAACCGTGGCTCTGGATGGCCGCGGGTTGGTTGGACTCCAGCGCCGGACGTCCCTCCTGGCAGTGCTTGTTCAGGTTGGGGTCACTCGAGGTGCGGGTGAGCGTCACGCCGTTCTCACAAGCAGACACCAAGTTGTCCATCGACCGTGTTTTGGGGAGCCTGAGTGAAATAAAACACAAGCTTTCACGTCAGTGTTTACAATGTGCTCCGGTTCACCACAAGAGGGCAGAATCTGAACACACAAAACATCTCAGTAGTACATGGGTTTATAAAAAATAACATTTTTATAAATGAGGTTTATATTTAATATCAATACGTTTAACTTTTCTGTCTTGTAAAGCATACTTAATGTTTTATAAAAATACTTGCTTTTTGTTTAATAAACATACTGACAGTTAAACATTTTACAAAAAAGGGCAAGTAAAGCAAATGCAATGTTTTTTTTTTAAATTATTTAATTCTTTATAATAATACTTTTTGTATAAAAATACTGACACTTAAAAATATTTTGTAATTTTTTTTTTTTTTTAATGTCAAAAATGTCACCAAAGCAAGTAAAGCAAGCTTAATGTTTGAAACATTACTGAATGTTATGTATATATATATAAACTGCTTTATAAAAATGTGTTGCTTTTAAGAAATATTGTGCTAAGGAAAATCATTGAAAATATCACCAGGCAAGTAAGGCAAACCTAATGTTTAATAAAAAAAATATTTAAATGCTTTATTAAATACTTTGTTTTTCTAAAATACTGACACAAAAATATTTTTCTAAAGAAAAAAATTTAAATGTCACCAGAGCAAGTAAAGCAAACTTAATGTTTTATAAAAATTAAACATTATTTACTGTTTTATAAAAAAAGTTTTTAATGCTTTATAAAAAGTACTTTGCATTTTGCTTACTAAAAATATTGACACTTAAAAATATTGTGTTAAGGAAAACCACTGAAAATGTCACCAGGGCAAGTAGGCAAACTTAATGTTTTATAAAAAAAAAAATATATATATATTATTTAATGTTTTATTTAAAATGTTTTTAATGCTTTATAAAAATACTTTATTTTTGTTTCATAAAAATTCTGACAGTTAAGAAATATTTGGCTTAAAAAAATTTAAATGTTGCCTGGGCAAGTAAAGCAAACGTAATGTTTTATTGAATTAAAAATAAAAAAGCATTATTTAATGCTTAAAAAAAATATATATTTAATGCATTACAACAATCCTTTGATTTTTGTTTAATAAAAATATTGACACCTAATATTTTGCAAAAAAACATTGAGGGCAAGTTAAATCAGCAGGAAAAAAGTCCTGCAATCTGAAATTTACTGGCAGCAAGTGTGCTGGAATCTGACTGTAGAGAAGGAAATACATCACAATATACCTTTCGGGAAAGTTGTTTGGAATATGGCCAAATAAAGATTTAGTGAAGCAACATGCGACCCTCAATTTCCAAAAATGGACCCTTATGACTGGTTTTGTGCTCCAGGGTCACATATGTAACTGTGCAGTATTTTTAGCACTGTAATGAAGTGTCTGTGAGCAGTCACCTGTCGAGGGAGCGCGAGCTGAACTCCTCTCCTCCGGCCGAAGGGCTCAGGTAGATCTCCATGGCATCTTCAGCCGCGGTGCACGGCGAGGACGACGGCAGATACACAGCCGTCCACAGCTGCAGCGCTCGCGTGTGACAGACCGGCTGCAAAACCTGCCAACATCACCACAACAACAACCCAACATCTGCATTAAACCAGAGAATAAATACAGAAACTAATCACAATAGATGAGGAACAAACCGTGTGGATTTCTTTTAAACAGGGTTCTCACAGTCACAGAAAACCTTAACATATCTGTGAATTTTAAAATAGAGAATTCCAGTCTGGAAGACGCACAGAAATAAACAAAACCTTCAAAAGTTATGGAAATTTCTCTGGTACACATAAATTGTTTTTGTTAATTGGCTAAAATTGCTTTTTTAGAGTCTCTAGTTATTAATCAAAATGTGCATGAATCTTGTTGAAAGTAACTGTGATTAGACATTAGTCGTGTGTAGTTAGGACACTGTTAGAATAACTATAGCACTTTTATCATTTATTATAGTTAACTAATACTAAAACCATTAAAGAACATTTCCATTACTTGACATAAAAATATAACATTTTATTTTATTTCAGCTAGCTGCCAAGGCAAAATATGTAAAAATAAATAAAAACTGAAATAAAAATTTATAAAAATTGTATAGGCATAAAAAAAACTAATAAAATTAGAAAAAAAAAAGCTAAAATATTTACTAAAATTAAAACGGGGGAAAAAAAAAAAAGAAAATCTAATTAAAAATATTAATAGAAACTATAATAGTATCTATAAATAACACTGTATTTACTGGGCATTACATAAATAAAGCACAACAATTGAGAACAAGTTGAATGTGTCTTTTAAACAGGATTCTCACAGTCGAAGAAAACATTTAAACATCTGTGATTTTTAAAATAGCAATTTCCAATCTGGAAAAGACAGAGACATTAACTAAATCATAAAAAGTTATGGAAATTTCTATAGTAAATATAAACAGTTTTTGTTCAGCTCTAAAACACCTAATTGGCTAAAACTGTTTTTGGTAACACTTCAGTATAGGGTCCAAGGGTCTCACTATTAACTAGTTACTTATTAGCATGCCTATTATTAACATATTGGCTGTTTATCAGTGCTTATAAAGCACATATTGTGCATGACCATATTCTACATCCCTAATCCTAGCCAATACCTAAACTTAACAACTACCTGACAAACTATTAATAAGCAGCAAATTAGGAGTTTAAGGCAAAAGTCATAGTTAATGGCAAGAACTGGACCTTAAGCATGAATCCTCTCTGAAACAATCAAAAGGCGTGTGAGCCCTGGTTTTGTAGTAACTGTACGTGTGCTGACCGTATCATGGCAGGGGATGTAGAGGAAGTTCTGGAAGTTCTTGTTGGCGTTTCGGAGGAGCGACCAGACGGAGCAGGCGCGTTTATACACGTTACGGGCCTCGCGCTCTTTCGCGTTATTGCACAGGAAGGTGCCATACAGACAGGAGTATGTGTGCTGAACCAGCTTCACCTGCATGAACAACAGAATAAATAATCAGTTAATCAGCATCAACATCTGGATGAGACCTACAGATTATATGTGAGCCTGGAGCACAAAAGCAGTCTTAAGTCGCTGGGGTATTACTTAAGACTGGTTTTGTGGTGCAGGGTCACATATACTGTTGCATAGAATTACTCCATTTATCTCAGATTTATGTGTAAAATTGTTAAAAAATATCTACAGGGACATTTAAATGTCGAGGCGCAAGTTATGGAAACATTATATATCAAGAAAGGAAGTATAACTCAAATTTGTTAGCCTTAGACATTCATAAGATCAGCAGCTGAAACAAAATATCAGTTTTTGAAAACATTTAAATACATTTAAAAAAAAAGAAAGTAGTTACATTATTCAAGTAAAGCAAACTTAATGAACTTAATTTTTTTTTCCTAAAAAAAGAGCATTATTTAGTATTTTATAAAAAAAATTTTTTTTAATCTTTATAAATAAAACTTAGCTTTTTGTTTAATAAAAATACTGATGCCTTGTTTTTTAGTATTTCAACCTAAAACTAAATGAAAACGAGAAATGTTGCCCTGGCAACTAGATTTCATATTTTATAGATAATATAGATATTTTTATTTAAATATTTAATAAATAAATAAAATATATACAATTTAAACAATATAGTATAATATATATACAATATATAAAGATATCAATATTTTATTTTAGTTAACATCTATTTTATTTCAAGTAATGAAAATGTGTTAGCAAAATG